GAATTCAGTCGAGGGTCAAGTGAGTCGTACCGACGAACGTTACTTGTGGGTTAATGGAATGGATAATATCATTTATTATTATTCAGGTTCGTTTACTTTATTGCTTATTGAAAGTTAATCATTTGTTTTAAAATGTAATTTTTGATTTATCATTAGATTTCTATGAAGGTGAAATATGTTCATTATTGGGTTAGAATGGTGCAAGAAAGAGAAAAATAAGATTTATTCTTCTTGATTAGTTTTATTGAATAATAGCTTATTGTCATGTTGCAAGATGTGTTTATATTTTAGGTATATGTTAGAAGCAACATCAGGTCATGTAACTGTTCAAGGAATAGATAATCGAAAAAACATATAGAAGATGTTCGAAATATTCTTAGTTGTTGTCCACAATATGGTAAAAGATTTTTGTGAATATTTGATTATTTAATGTTTGTCTCATAGATATTCTTTATGATGAATTATCTATTAAAGAACATTTGGAATTGGTGGAAAAGGTACTTATGATGGAATAAGAGATGTTGTATAAAACGTCAAATGGAATTTCTACTCCAACTGTGGCTGAGGGTGGGTGTGGGTTTAGGTGTGAGTGTGGGGGTGGGTGTTGGTGTGGGTGTGTGGGTGTGGATTTAGGTGTGAGTTTAGGTGTGAGTGTGTGTGTGGGTTTAGGTGTGAGTGTGGGTGTGGGTGTGGGTGGGTGTGTGGCCTGGGGAGTGGATAAAGAGAAGCGCTACACACTCATAGTCATACCCCATAGAGCCACATCCACACCTACACCCACTCACACCAACCTACAACCACCCACACCCACACACCCACACCCACACCCACACCTCACACCCACACCCACACCTCACACTTACATCCACACCCACATCCACACCCACACCCACACCCACACCCACACCCATACCGACACCCACACCCACACCCACACCCACACCCACACCCTAGATTTATTAATTTCACTTCACTATTATTTCCATTGGTTTTTTTTTTGTTGGACTCGCAGAAGTATTGCTTTTCGACAGAATAGAAATTTTTTACATAAGTAGTGTTCACGGATGGTTAATTATTGTTTTATCATTTTCAATAACTAATTATTTACCAGAAATCTTTAGAGATTCAAAGTTTCTATCGTTAGTCATCGATATAATCAGTCTTGGCGATGTTGTTCTACATGACTTGGAAAGACGTCAGTAGCTAAGTACCAAAATGGATGTTTAATATGTCGATTGATATAGATATATTCAGATTATTATGAAGGATTCCATTAGTTATAAAAACAGATAAATATCTATGCAAGTGCTTAAATAACTATAGAAAACTTGAATAGCTATGGAAATACATAAGTAGCTGTGGAAAACTTAAATAGCTATAGAATACTTAAATAGCTGTATGTTTTTTTAAAAAGTATCTCTTTTAAGAAGCTACGCCAGCTACACCCACACCCGCACTCACTACATCCACATCCAAATTCAGTGTTTTTGTAGCGTGCCAACTTTTAAGTAACAAAGCGACTATTTTTGTAGAACACTTGCTCCAAGTAACACGGTACTGTATACGATATCATATCTTTTGCCACTCAACATCATATATGCTCGACAATTCAATTACAGTACGAGATCGTTTGTGTATCAACCAGTATGGCGATATGTGGCCCATTTGCATATTATGCTTTATACGGCATTCATTAGTATCCGAGACGTATTTTTTTGCTATGTGAATGCCTGAGAGAAGCAGCAAAGAAAAAAGGGAGATGTACTATAACTAGTGAAGAAAGAAAAAAATGGTAAGAATAACTTTTCGTATGATATGTTTATTTCTTTCTTCATTAGTAATAGTTTTATCTCCTTTCTTTTTTCCATTCTCTTCCATTAACAGCCACTATATGAACTGGTATATGCGATGGATAAATCTATTTCTGATTGCGACAACATTGGGGATATATGCGACAAAAAAAACCATTAAGATTACATACTTTTCTTTTATTTGTCGAATATTGATATATTACAATATTTGAAAAAAAGCTACAGGAGTCTAATTGCACAGTATGTTGTAATTTTTACATCGTGTTCCATACTACAAAATTACGACAATAAAAAGGTAAGAATTTTAAAACTTTTGACAAATAATCTCAGGAATATAATTTAACACTCGATTCATGCAATTCTATATCCAAATTGAGCATTTTATTTTGAAATAGATTTTTCTTCAATCATTTATGTATTCTTTTATTAATAATAAATAGATAGATATAATATACTATTGGTTGATGTATTAAATTACATCTTATTTTGACCTAAAGATTTATTTTTTCGATAATAATGATATCGTATGTTGGAGATGAACATTAAGAAATAGAGAAGAAAGAAGTGAAGAATGCATGGCAAAAAAGAGATTGTTTGAAAACGATGATGTATCATATCGGAAAAAGAGATAAACCTACTATAATCTAAGAATAACCTATAATATTATCAGACGAAGTAAGTGAAGATTGCCATTTGTTCAAAAATCATTTAAAATATGAGTAAGGGTCAGATTATCGGCATGGCCAGCCAATACGAAATTGCATTTTTTCCTATTATAACACGTATATCTCATCAACGATAAAAGCGAATCTCCTAATATTTTTAACATATATGGGCTAAATCATTCGTTAGCGACGTGACGTCGCGAACTTGCAGTATGCATATCTCAGAATTATCAGTTGGTTTAGATGGAATTTTCGCGTGTTGCACTAGTCTATATTTACTCTAGATTTCAAGAAAAAATTAATAATTTAGAGCTTTGTTCAGAGAAGTTATTAAAGAAAAACTAGCGTTAGCGACGTAACACCCAAAAAGAACCTCAACTGTTACTTGATATACTTTGGTTTTTTAAAATTTCAAATTGTTGCACGATTACCAAAAACTTAATACACGATACTATACACGGCTCTTAAGGCTACTAGATCCCAGTGTAAGATTATTTTGAGCATGTCTAGGCATTTCAAAAAATAAAATCTATTTAGCTTCAGCGACGTGACTGAGTACGACTTCACTACCGTTTAAATGCTCTGATAACGAACTGAACAGTTCAAAATCAATTCCATACAGCTCATGAAATGGTAGGGGTTCCTAGAATAATACTAAAACAAATGTTTTCATTTTAGCTTTGTCTACAGACTCTGAAAGGTCGATGTTTTGGAAGGAACTTTTTGAAGTCCGATTTCGCTGGAAACTCTACCATATATGCTGCTCATATCCTGGAGACAATTCGGAAATTTTCATATTTTTCTCTCATTCGGTTATCGAGATATTCACTAATTACTTCTTAATTAGTTAATTATTAAGTAGTTCATTAATTAATTAATAACCATATGAAAGAGCAGACAATTTTACATAAGCCTATGCAAGAACAATTTAGTCAAAAACCTTATACTGATAGAGAATTATAATCAAATAAAATGAGTGCATGTCCCGTTTTCAATGACTTTGCCGATACGGGGACTATTTAGATCTTTTCCCAATAAAAATTTTATCGGTTGACATACAAGCGAGGTTGAGCTATTTAAAAAACTCTTATCTTCACGGAATTTCATAAAGTGAAGTTCTTTTTAGGGTGAGTGGAGAGTTAAGTATTTTACTGCGCAACCAAGTCACATTCAACTTAATGTTCTGTATACAAATTATTCAATTTTCCACAATCTTTCAGAAATGCTTAAAACGTCATTAATAATTCTAAAATTAAACTAGAAATTTGTCGATGAAATATTAAGATTATGAGTATTTTCGTTTTCAGAATAAAAGAAATTTTCGATGATAGAAGACTAGTATATTTTTAGTGGTTAATCATTTTTTTCTGCTAATCAAGAGCCTTTAAAGGTATTTTTTTTGTTGTCGTTCAGTACAGAGATATATAGGGACTACATTTTATATGTTACACTCATTGTAATAGAAAAAATACGAGGTAATACTTGATAATAATTATTTACTACTTTATTAAACTCAGCTTTACTCTCAGTTTACAAGACTTATATGACAAGAAGAATCTAAAATGGAGAGAATAATCTACCCATTATTTCAAAATGGACAATTTCAATTAAATTTTGACGCTCTGTTTATCGTTCTATTTCGAAATATCATTTAGGTAATATTTAACTCAAATGTTCATTATTATACATTTTCTTGAACGTTAAACAAAAAATAATGTTGTCGTCATCAGCTAAGAGTTATTATAATGCGATAATTAATTAATTCTTTTCTATATATATGAGGCCTCATACTGAAATACAGTGTGTCAAAGGGCGTACTGAATGAAGTTAATGAGTAATATAGTAAAAATTAGAAATTTGCTACACTTTCTTCACACATTCTTAGTGTATATGGTTGTTACAGATTTCTTTCTCTGTAACGACGCTTGATGTTCATAAAATCTTCGGTTCAATTCAGCCGAAAATCAAATTCGTTCGATTTATTATTGTTCCTTTTCTTTTTTCCACATATACATACGCTTTCATACATCAGAAAGAGAAATATTTAAGTAAAATACAAGGAGAGAGATAAATAAGCGTCCTCTACTTCAGCATATACTATTTTATTTAACCCTTTACCCCCCTTGGTCACTGGAATGGCCATTTGTAGAACGATTGCAGAAAATAAAGGAAGTATAAAATTCAAAAACTCTAAGAGCACTTTTTGTAGTAAACTTCATGGGCTATCGACTAGTAAAAACAAGATTTTTTTCACTGCGCTAGTTCCGAGATATACAACTTATAAAATCGATGATTTTCAAAAAAAGTAAAAAATGGAATTTTTTTTGTAAAATTCTTTTTCTACCTCTAGGCAATATATATCTCGGCGACGTGTTGTGTGATTTACATCAAAGAAAGTGTCCACTAGTAGATTATATAAGTTTCAAAAATTTGAAAAGAATTAGGTAGGCAAGATGTGGTAAAGCATCGAATGATCACTGAAGGACTTCCAGAAAATCAACCCTTAGCTTTTGGCCGTCTACAACCCGAAAATAAAGTTTTGTTTAAACTACGTAAAATTATAGAGTGAACAATTCTCTACAAAATAAGACGTCCCCGAGCTCTCTACGACGCTTTTTGGTCGAACTCCATCGATATTACGGAAAGTTCACGAATTTTTTTCCAAATCGATCCCCCTACTCCCCTTCAACAAACTATCCTAAAACTCAAATGTGTGTTTGATCGATCTGACCGTACTTTTAGCATTTTGGTGGCACCAATGCTCTATTCCAATGGCTGTTTCATCAGTAGTTCTTCTGGAACTGCTATGGGGGGTAAAGGGTTAAAGAAGATGACATCCAACATGTTCTTTTATTGGAATGTCCTTACATTTAGAAAAGAAGAAAAAGTAATAATTTATTGAAATTGTAACAGTCGGATAGGAAAGTAGAAGAGAAAAGAAGGAGAGAGAAATAAGAGGAAAAAAGAATTGGAAATAAACATCTAGTCCTAAATCGATTTTCAATATTTGCCTGACACTTGTAGCAGAAATACCAAGCTCCGTGGAAAGTTTTCGAGCTGATACCTTCTGCTTCCGGCGCAAACGGTTCTTGACTTTTTAAATATTCGCCTTAGTCCTTACTATACGTGGACCACCTTGTGTACCTGGTAGTTGAATAGAGCCAGACCGGTGAATCATCTGGCACCACCTTTTGATTGTAGTTAAACTAATGCCGCCATTTAAATCTCGGTGAATTTCTATCGGAGTGTCACCTTTTTTATAATTTGAAAGTACGATGTTTTGTACGTCTTTACTTTTCATTTTAAAAATTTTTTATTTATTTGTGAATCGAGATTTCAAATTGATAAATTTATAGAGCTCGATATTCCGGATATTTTAAAAACGAAGATTAATCCAATTGGATGAAATTTGAAAGAGACATCGCTAGATTATGGAGAGGCTCATTTCACCTGGCGAACCCGTTATTGTTTTTTAATTTTATATTATGTTCCACATTTGACTACACAACACGTAGGTATATCAAAAATATGTGTTTTTTTACTTTAGATTGTTTTCAACGTTCGCTGTGAAAAAGAAGCGTAGAATAATAAACTCTTTCATATACCATTTCGAAGGGTATATGAAAGGGTTTATGAATTTCATAAACCCCGTCATAAACCCTTTGGAGGGTTATGTGAAAGGGTATATGATTTTCATAAACCCTTATAAGGGTTTATAAAAAGTGTAACATACGGTAAAAAGGGTATATTATTCGCTGAACTTTCATAAACCCTTAAAGGGTTTATTATTCTACTATTTTTTTTACAGTGTTGGCCGCATCATTGACTCACTTGAAACGTTCTTCGGCCTGTAATGAAAGAACAGCGGTCTCAATTGGCACTTGGCTAGGCTTAATTCTTTTCCTCGAAACTTTTAATGAAAGGCCAAGAGTAGTCTGAAGAAGCGTTTAAAATATCGCTTCTAATGCGAGCGATCAACTTTTTACTAAATTGGGGAGATTTTCAGTAGAATTTTCTCTAAAACTAGAGAAAGTCTGAGATTAACTTCTGGCACAATCGGAGAATGTTGCTATTCCAAAACCAGGATAGGTACCCCCCTTGGTCAGGCCTGGTGTTGATGAATAATCTACTAGCCCAAGAACTGGTTTAACATCCTCCATCTCTTTTGTCTGTATCGACCACTGTTGAAGTTGGGCTTGTATAATGAGACGTAAATATCAATAGAGAGTGTCTTATCTTGTAATAACAGCAGCCAAAGGTTATGGTCATCTTTATCGTATCTTGTTTCGCTTTAGATGCTTCTGTTTATTCTACGAATAAATGTCTACTTTTTGTCATATCATTCGTCATCTTTTTTTGCACTATTACTTACTTTTCTGTTTCTCTCTTTAATAGATAAAATATTCAAAAGAGCACTTCGAACTACCACTACAATTGAAAACCAAACATGAACGTTTTTGATCGGGTAAAAGCATTAGTTAGTAAACAACTCGACGTAAACTCTAGCGACGTTAAATTGGAAAGCAATCTCGTTGATGATCTTGGTGCTAACAGTCTCGCTCTGGTTGAATGTTATTTACATATTGAAGAGGAGTTTGAGCTCGACATTCCTGACGAAGACGCGGAAAAGTTAACAACCATTCAAGCTATTGTTGACTACATTACTAAGCATAAAGGTGAACAATGACATTGTATGACCTACAATAAACTATCCTACAC